AGCCGCATCGGATGCGGGCGGGCGGGCGGGCCGGGTGCAGGTGGCAGCGGGGGTCACGGGGGCCATTTGTGACGGCATCGGAGAGGCCCAGGGGGCAATTGCCACCCTGCCCCCTGGCCCAGTCAGCCCCTGATTCTTAGTGATGCTGCTGGTTTGTCATAAATGGACAATTCACAATGCTATTGATAGATATTGACAGACCCTATTGAATTGATAGGCTGCTTTCTTATAGGTATTGCCACTTTCTAGCAAGCCCTACTCAAGTATCTGTATGAGTATTGCGTGTCTTTGTAATTAACCACATTCCTGCAATATGGTCACTCTGTCACTCATTATCACTCTCTGGCTTCACCAATGTACTATGTGAGCTACAATCCTTTTAGGCCCTTTAATCGCACTGCCAAATGCGTAGAATTTAAGATGTAATGATGAGCATAACAGCAGTTGTGTAAGGTGACTATATAGAGGGTGTTCCAGACTTAGTACATTGCTGGACAAGACCAGATTAGGAGCCAAGTGTGTTTTTTTGGGTATGAGATGTCACAGTTCAGCTGCAGACTTGCAGCTGAGCTTTTACTTGTAGTTCTACAAGTATATACAGACCTCTTACCCCAGGTTCTGCAGGCATGCAGGGCTGTGCTGTTGCTTGTAGTCCTCCAGGCATGTGCTCTGAACCTGACCCACTCTTGCACTAGTCTGGCAGCTTTAGGCGTCGGCTGACCTCTCCTGCTGTTTCTTATGCAGCTTCTCGGCCAATCAGTGCAGTCTGCTTGTGGCCAATCCTGTGGATCCTCCCTCTTCTTGTCTCTATTTAAATCCAGGGCATCGAACGGCACGCGGCCCGAGCAACGCTTTCCCAAGCTAGTTGCCGAGTCCCCCATTTGCGATTTGACCCTGAATTCTTGGAAGTTTGCCTGTGGACCAAACCTTTGGCTTGTCCTTGGATATCCCTGTCTACAGTCTGCCCTGTGCTTCGCTTTGTCCTTGGAAATCCCTGTCTACAGTCTGCCCTGTGCTTTGCTTTGTCCCTGGAAGTCCTAATCTTTAGCCTAAATCCATGAACCCATCGCACTCCTGACTGCTTAACTCCAAACGATAATCCAATGGGTGCAGCGGTGATCAACGGATGGCAATCATCATGAATCAAATAGGGAAGCGTGACCCCGAAAACGGTCATTGCATTTATGTGATATGTTGCACCTCTTCAAATAAATAAGACTTTTCACGTTTATATCGGAGTGCCGGTGTCCCTACTTCTATTTTAGTGTTCAGCCTGTCCCTAGCCTTTGATTCGTACCCTGTACCTGTTAGGTGAGTTGGGTGGACCTAGGGATTGTGACCTGGGGTCAGCTCGCAGCCAAGCCCATCTCCACCATCAGGTGCTCTGGGGAATACCAGCTGGCCCTTAGATTCCACATCCTGGGGGACCCAATACTACCTACTCAGCATTTCCGCACCCTGCCTTGTGCTTGATGTTCCAGCTTAAGCTGTCTTACACTGCCTCATTCCGTTCCCCTGCTTGTACTCCAGCTCTGGGAGTCATAAGCCTGCACTGCTTGGACCCTTTTCTCTAAGTGTCCCTGCCAGTGTAGTAGAAAGGGTCACATACCTGACTCCAGTTCACACCCGTGAGCCCCTGAACCATGACATGAGATATGGGCATGCAGAATTGTGAACCATGCCTGCTTTATAAAGATCTGCTGGTAGGAGAGTCTCTTGCTGTGGTCCATAAAGCTGTACGAGGCAGATTTTGGCAGGGGGAAACAGCCAGCTTGGATGGCATTCTGATTTCAAAGTTTTGTTGTATGTGCCTTTATTTAACTTTAAAAATCTTATAATTCATTTTTGTAATGTGTAAAGAAAGCTTTAGTAAATTTGAGGGTTAAGCGGGGTAAATACTGCAGGATTTTTGAACAATCGTCTGTATAAAAAAAACTTATCAGAACGTTAGATAAAGTCATCACGCGAATGTTGTTTAAAATTCCGTCTGGTTTTCATTTTGATTTAACTTTGATTTTATGAATGGATGTAGTTCACTGTTAGAATTTAGTTAATTCGAGAAAATTTTTCCATCCTGCTCCTTATTTTTCAGAAACTGATTTTGTTTGTTCGAAATTCATTCAGTGTATGCCCTACTATAGTTTTTGTACATATTGTTGAATTAGTAATTGAAAGGACCAAGAACATTGTGTATAATATAGCAGAGCAACATAAAGCAGACCTTGCTAAAGTAGCATTGTAGAAAAAAATATAGATTTTGTGATGTGATGGCATCAATGTCATGTGTAAATGGTAAGAAGAAGAAAAGGAAACAATAAATAAATGTCTTGTTTCTTCTGTTTTACATTTACATATTTTTGTCTTTTTTTTTCCCCAAGAACTCCAGCTATAAAAGCATTGAATGCAACTGGACAAGAAAACATCAACGCAATCTCTTTATATAAGGTTGGATTCAACTTCTTCCTTTTAAATAGTGCCAATATTTTTAAGAATATGTTTTAAGAATATTGAACACACAAAGAGATCACAAAGAGATCTTTGTGATCTCTCCACCAGCTCAGTGACTATAAACACGGCGCCTTCTGTTGCAGTTTTGGTATTGTGCTCGGGGTGATTAGGATGTGCCTATGCACACCCAGCACACTGTGTGCGCACGACTATGATTGCTTCAGAACTTAGGTTTACAAATCTAGGCTACTCTCTGTTTGACCGTTGTATATAATTGGTGCAAAGGAAAAGTACAAGTGTTGCCTATAACCAGGACACTATCTACACATTTTCACCTTGATGTAGGAAAGCCCAGTGAGTAGGAAAGCCCAGTGAGTGGCTATCCTCACATTTACAAACACAGTCCACCACTGAGATTGGGCTATTACAAATCAGAGACTGATAAGGGGATATGCAAAAGTTAGCTACAAGTGTCCCCCTAATGTTCCATTTAAAGAGGTGATTAAAGTTCATCCAGCAGATGACAGAACAGGGAATGGTAAAACATAATTCTCTTCTTTTATAATTTTCATGACATTTTATGTAAATATCTATCTTTTATCTGCCTGTCTGCCAGATTGATCTGAAGTGAGCCTGTGGTAGCTCTAAATGTATTTAATATCAGCTCAGCACAGTAGGTATCACACTGTAGCTGTCTGTACCTTTTTAAATGTGCCACAAACTTCTTGTATATCGTTGGACAGCCATTCTTTTCAATTCTTAACACCATTCCTGAAATCTTCACATGTGCTTCAGTTCAGACCTGTTGGCCACCAGTACTTCCTTCTTACAATTGGACAATTCTCTATTGCTTGTTGAGGCTGCACATTGCATTGTGGGATGCTTGGTGGTATGGGCCAGAAAACCTGAATAAGTTGAGAATTTTAGAAATGTTCGAATTTTAAAGCTGCAAGCAGGCCCTGTGTGCTGCCTGCATTGCTGGGCTGTTGTCAGTTTAATAGATTTGAAGAGTCAATTAGGTTTATTTACTAAAGGCAAATATATTATTATACTACTTAACAAAGTGCCCCCTTTGTATGGGAATTTCCCCCTTCACTTAGTGCTCTGCAGACTTCCCTCATCTGCTCATGAGCAAGCAAAAATGCTGTTTTTTTTTTTCATTTCCCTTGCTTGTAATTGGGTATTCTTTGTAAAGTCAATTTGTACCACATTCACCAAGCTAAGTGAAAATTTACTTCCCAGTGTGAACATATTGTAATCCTTTAGTAAACCAATTCCAATTGATTTACTTGAAATGGCAACCAGCAGCAGAAGCAATAACTTGCCTGCAGAAGTGTTAACAGTCATGTTTAATAAGTCCTCCTCATTGTAGATTAAGCCTGGCAACATAGTTTTGAACTGTGTTCTCAATGTATCTGCAGTACCTGATACCTTAATGTGCCGCAGTGTTTAGCATTTATAGTGTTATTACTCCATTCACAAATGTATACAATTTAGTTTTCATGATTTACCATCAGTGTTATCTGTTCTGAACTTGCATAATCTAAGGTATAGAATAATTGATTATACTGTATATGCTCCATTTTAAACTGATGGCTGTTAACATTTTCAGTATGAAATGTAAACATCAATTTTTGAATATCTAACTAACAGGTGCTGTCTGTAAAGCCAGTGCTCAATGAGTAAGTATTTTCTTATCATTTCTAATTTGTATTGGTAAAGTAAAACATTTTTTTTAACAAAAGAGGAGATGACTTAAAGCAAATGCATTGTGCTTTGCCATATATTTTTAACTATTATGTTCTGGAGTAAAAATAATATTTTTCAATTTATTATATCTCTTTACTCAGGAAAAATGAAATATAGCATATAGTACAAAGATGGGAGGGACAGGCAGTGGCATAACTATAGCCATAGCAGCCCACATGGTTGCTATGGGGCCTGGGGTAGGAGGGGGCCCATTAGGAGGGCTGATTAAGAAAATGTAAATGTGAGGTTTCCAGTATGGAAGAGTTGAAGACAGACCTCCAGGATCAACTAGCCACAGATCCCCCTCTGTGCAGTAAGACCATTTTTTTATCTATCTTAGCAGTGTAGATTTATTGCCCTCTGAACTTCTGCTACAGACTGAAATGTACCCTGTGGGTCTAAGGCCCCATTCACACCTAGGCGTATTGTAATATGCGCGTCTGTCACGCGTTTTTTTTACCGCAATTCGCGGTAAAAAAAGTCACGCGACCGTCGCTCGATTCCAAAGGCTACTTGGCTGTATCCCAATGGAAAACGCCCTACAAAACGGCCCAAAGTAGTCCCGGGACCTTTTCAGGCGTGGGCCGTTTTGTAGGGCGTTAGGGACGGGCGGAAATACGCCTAGGTGGGAACGAGGGCATTGACTACAATGCTATTTATTTTTTTGACCGTTTTGTAGCGCGTTCGTCGAGCGTAGGACGCGCTACAAAACGGTCAGGTGTGAACGGGGCCTAAAGCAGTCACAGATCCCAGGGTTTCTTTTCTGGTAAAACCTTATAAGAGGGTTGAGGTTTGTAGTTCTACAAAAAAAGTTTAATGAAGCTAGAGTTTAAAGACGTTTGTATAAGGGTTGAAGAGTAAGTGTGTGCAAGAACATTGTTAATATTATCATAATATAATATGGTTATTATTCTTAGTGCTACTATAACTTTTACTCCCAGCACTGCTCCCTAGTAGTGTACTGACTATGCTGACAGCTCTCCTGCTGCCTGTCCTTGATACATAGTTTATGTTAAGATCAATGGCACATATTGTCACGTTGACACCGCCAGCCACTACAGAGAGATTTAGCCGGTGCGCCACAAAGTTTTGCTATGGGGCCCCATGATTGGTAGCTACACCCCTGAGGAGAGGGGTCTGTTTCTTTTTTAGAAAGTGAAGGGAGATGATGATGGTTTCCCAATATGAATGCATGCTCATTCCACTCAATAAACATATACAAGTACTACAGAATTTCTTTATGTAATAATTATTTATTATCCATTATTTGTCTGCTTGTTTTAGTTTAACCATCTATACAACAACAATGAGTGCTGCTTCTCCAGAGGAATACTCAACTCGAATTAGGAATTAAATGTAAAGGTAGGATACGCCTTTGTCATTCAGATTTTTGACACAAGTGATATAGGAAATCACTTCTTAGGGCTTCTGTCACAGGTTCATGGTATGTTTGAATGAGAGTTTGAGTGCTTAAACCTTCAGCTGATAAAACAGCTTCGTTTTTGTCATATAGACATGTTTGTTCCTGTCTCTTTTATTTCATTAGCACCAATATACTGTATATACAAATATGGGGTTTATGTGTGGCATATAATCAACTTAGTTTTACTTTTAAAAATATAATGTATTTTACAATAGTTAAACATCCAACATTTGATTGCATACAGAATATTCAAAATTCATATACACTTTGAATAATCCCCTTCTTTCAGTTGCCTTTAGAAATCTACAGCCCTCATTCTGTATCACATTCAGCTTATTCACTTTCAATGACATATACTTAATACATCCTTATAGTTTTCAATACATACTGTATTGTATCAAAAGGGCTTGTAGTTTCATTTGTCTCACTGACACGTTTCACATTAGAGCTTCACCAGCAGAGCTTTTGGTTTGGCAACCTTCAATAAGAAATTATATATTAATTTTTGTATATATTACCACCATATTTGTATATATTGGTGCTATTGAATTCGAGGGGGGAAAGGCAAAGAAGTAAACTTTGCATGATCCCTTGGAAGGTGACTTATTCGGGCTTGTATCTTTTATTTCATTATTAGTAAAATGAATAGGAATTACAGATAAAATGTAGTTATCCAGGCAGTAGACACGAACCTGTCGGTCTACATGCAGCAGGATGTTTTTTTGCACGGGTCCAAAATGCAGTAAAGGGAATGTACAGTGTTCTAGTATACACTGGGGGGATTTTTTTTAACTGGAGCAGACAGAATCTGAGGCAGATTTGCACTGCAGCCAATCAGCATCTTTCTCTCATTTTCAAATCTTACCTGAGCAAACTGAAAAGAGATGCTGATTGGTTGCTATGGGCAACTGCTCCAGATTCTGTTTGCTCCAGTTTTGATAAATTCCCCCCAATGTATTTCATAGTAACATAGTATAACAACCTACATAGTATAACAACCTACATAGTATAACAACCTTACAAGGTAAGGTTGAATAAAGACAGAGGTCTATCCAGTTCTGTGTGTGTGTGTGTGTGTGTGTGTGTGTGTGTACTTGGCTCTAGTAGTTCCAATATCCTTGGATATTTAGTGAACTAAGAAACTCATCCAAAAGTTTCTTGAATGTATCTATTCTATCAGTGCATAGTACTGACTGTGGAAGGGAATTCCACATTTTTTACTACACGAAGAGTAAAAAAAAAACCCTTGAGCAGTCTAAGATTAAACCGCCTGTCTTCTAACCTCTTGTGCTCTCCTGTCATCAATACAGTTCTTGGTGTGAACATTTTCTTGATATATAAGTTTTGTGTTCAGGACTAAACAAATAAAGAATAAAAATACATTTTAATTCTTTATTTCTTTTTAGTTAGGTTAATATGAAATTACACATTAATATATTTTATATTTGCCAGCTGGAAAAGCAGTTGAGGATATCCTGCAGCTCGTCACTAAGCTGTTAATAGTCTGAATAGCTTTATCTTGTGAAAAGTCAAAGGGGGGACATATCCCCTTCACTTTTTACTAGATGATATGAACTCACATAGAGTCTCAGTTAAAGGGAAGCATGCATCAAGTAGACATTAAGTGCTCGGTTTTCCTATTAACTCCGTCATGGAACCACCCTATATTAAATGCTTATTTTGCGCATGGAATATTTAAAACAAATAATTGAAAATATATATACAGTATAAAGATGAATATATGGACAAAATTTAAAATGAACTAAAATCATTAAAGTTTCCCTTTATCTCTGGGTAGAAGCTGTGTGGGCAAGGAGTGCACAAACTTTGCAATGCCTTACTTTTTATTTCTTTTTCTTTTCACCATTGCTCTTTGCACCACATTATTCATCAAAAATCTTTCTTTTTTCATATTTCTACAGACTCAAAAGTATAAACTGCTCCCTGTGAAGATCTTCCTGAAATAATGCATTCTAAAACACCTGTGTATGATGGACAATTTACTATAATAGGCCACAAATGAACCACTTCCAAACACCTATAGAGTCATGTACTACCAAATTCCAAAAAGTGCCAATTCTGTGTTTTTGTTAATTTTTGTATTCTGCATTTTATATCTACATGCTGCAGTGTTTTTTAGCTAATTTGTTTTTGGTAATTATTTACTAGACGCGTGCGATTCATTTCGGAAAGGATTCGTTATCCGGACGATTTTTCAGAAGTTCGTACATTCGGATGCATACGAATTTCCGAATGACCGAAACAACGAATGCAAACCAATACGAATTTCCGATAACGAAAATTTCGGATGCATCCGAATTTATTTCCCAAATTAACTTAAGCATCAGCTTTTTAAAAAAAATTGTTAGCGGTAGTATATACGAATTTTCGTTACGAACGAATTTTCGTTGGAGCAAAGTGTCATTATCACCTTCATGACTGAGGGGCAACAGAGCCCGGGAAGCTTGGCGGGGGTGTCGGGCAGGGGGTGGGATCCCTTCACCGGGCCGTAGAACCGATCTGGCGACAGCTGAGTCACCAGAATTGCTTCTGTTGTAAAGCCGACAGTCGGCTTTACAAGTTTAAACAGTCTCGTGATGCGGTGCTCGTGTGGCTGCTGGCTGAATGTGTTAGAGGGCTCAGACGGAAAGGGGCAGGACACCGCTCCCCATGTGCAACGTTGGCCACATTCGGCCACACGAGCACCGCGGGAGGACAGGACGCCGGCGCCTCTAGAACGCATTGGAATGCAAGCCAGTCAACTCCCTGCGTTCAGGGGCGGGAGGGGGCATGGGGGGGCATTGAAGTCAATGGCACCACAGCCACGCCCCTCACCCACAGTGCGATCGCCCGCACCCGGAAAACACAGGCACATTAGTGCCTTTGTTCCAGTCCAGTGCGATCTGCAAAAATAGTGCTTGCAGCATTTTTGCAGATCGCACTGGACTGGAACAAAGGCACTAATGTGCCTGTGTTTTCCGGGTGCGGGCGATCGCACTGTGGGTGAGGGGCGTGGCTGTGGTGCCATTGACTTCAATGCACCACCATGCCCCCTCCCGCCCCTGAATGCAGGTGTTCTTTCGTTGGGAGATCTCATTGGGCTCGTCATTTGAAAAGTAGATCTCCAGATGAAAAACTGTGGGCGCCCCTGTTGTAGACACTCATTAGAAAATTGTCTCCCGTCGTGTGACAAATGGCACAACTTATGATAGATTCCTTTGACTGTCTGTAAGGTGTATGTGAATTTTCTGCAGAATTTTGTCTGTGGCACAATACTTATTTGTTGCAGCCATAGTGCCAGAATGTAAACATGTCCCAGATAAAGACTACATGAATTTGTTGCACATACAGTATGTCACGTTGGAGACAGCAAGAAAACTGTTGCATGGCTTTCATGAATTTGGTGCAAGACTTTCTAATATGATCATAACAACAGAAGAATGTAGCAAATGCTATATTAAAGTAGAGGTGTTAGTAGCATACATTTGCAAATCTAGGTGGACACCACACTGCCCCTTCAAGGCCCCTCTGTAAGTTGTTGTCCCTAACTATGATCACACAAAGCACCCATCCTGGGACATACACAGATATTAAAAAGGCACAAATATTAAAAAGGCAGATATGCTTTGAAGTATTTATTTCCTCCTAAAAGGTGCAGAGACACACCGGAGATGTTCCTTTTTATCCTCCTGTCTCTAGGACAAAGCTCCCTACCTACCCCAGTAAATCCGGGGTGCAAAAGACTCAGGAATGGTGCCGCTAAGTCACATCTCTAGATTGTTGGCTGTATTCCAGGGTTGACTCCTAGTATGATCTCCCTCTCCTGGGTAATGAATCTGGCCTGCTCATAGGCTACTGTAGGAGTGCCTTGCAGTGCTCCTGTGAGGTCATGGTGCTGAAGTGCACAATGTGTGTCCCAGCCTGGGTTCAGCTCAGACATGGTGTGACCTGGGAGGTGTGGAACACACACAGAGCGTTCCATTAGCAGTGGCAGCACATGGGCAGTGTGATTGGGAAGCCAGGTGCGTCCTGGAGAATATTTAAACAGACAGATAGCACATTCTTTGGCAGGAAATGGATGTGCCTCCAATTTGAGGATGACTGTCTTCCAGTGAGTAGGGCTGGGCCTTGTATAAAGGGACAGCATACTGGTGGCAGGATTTAGAGTTGGATCTACATTTTGACAACAGCACTAATTAGCGTGAAGGGTTCAGCAATGGTAACTGGCGTTACAGAGCAGTCGCCGCTGATAGAAGGTACAGAGAAGGTAGATAGCAGCGGTCAAGGTTGTCAACAAGCTTGGTGTCTGTGCAGGTAATGCAAGGTTTTTTTTTGTTGATCCTTTCTTTGTTAGCTGTTCCTGGTCTGGGTGCAGTTCTTACTGTCAGTTAAAGCACAGAAGCCACCATAGAAGGTCTTGCTCCCTATCAAAGCTCATGTGTTCCTGCCCACATCCTTCCATACACACCCCACAAAGGAGACACTGCTGGACCTGCCTGAATACTGCAAATGCAGTGTGAAGTGTGCCTTATAGAAGGTTCTAGAGTGAACGAGTCAGATAACAAAGCGGTAGTCTCTCCAATCAGACAAGTTATGCAAGAGAATCTAAAGGAGTGCTCCATGCCAACACCCTCAGACAAACCAACTCCAAGGGAAACGGCTGCAAATTCAAAGGCATATGTTAAGCCAGTTCAACCAGTGAGGGAGGAAAACATTTTGTGTGACAACTTCTCCGAAGAGGAATCTGAAGAGATGGCTGTGGGGAGCTTTGACTTTAGCCTTGTGAAACCATATGTCAAGGCAGTGGGAGGCAACTATCCAGTTGGGGGACACCACCTTACCCTGTTACAGGATGTGAAAAATTAACAGATCTTCTGACAGGAACAACAAATAATAACATTATCAGGGCTATTCACTAAAGGGTGAAGAGTTTGGAGAATGCAGGAGAGTGTCCAATTCAGCATTTCTAAACCTTTTAACATGGAGGAACCCTTGAAATAACTTTAAGCTCTCACCCTTGCCAATAATTACTATAGGGATTATTCACAAAAGGGTGAAGAGTTTGGAGGAGAAATTAACCATTTAGGACAACAGAGCTGAACTGGAAAATAAGCTGAATTGGAGAATTATTCCAAATCTGCTATTTTGGCCTAAATGGTTCACTTCTCCTCCAAACTCTTCACCCTTTTGTGAATAACCCTCTATGTTATAGGGGGACTCTGAAAAAAACAAAAGCTGCTGTGGTAATGCTAGTGATGGACTGCATCAAATATGTTATTTTTGATTTTGCACAGTTACACTTTAAATCTTGAGAGTCAACTTCATTAATGCAATCAGGACGGATTTTGGTTAGTTATATCCAAAATGTATAATTCAATCTATCTTTCTATCACTGTATAATTAAACATTATCAAAATAAATGTATATCATATAAACAGTTTTAATTTAAAACATGGCAGTTGTATTGATGAACCTGTAGGTACGTTCAGTGCTTGACCTTTCGGTATAAATAGTGTCTTAAGCATGTTTACCTGCTTACTCACACAATGTGATTCACATGGATAAACAGATATTAAGACTGTGACCTAATTTTTTTGAACACGGCATCATCAGACCTGTAAATATACACTGTGAAGTGAAAGTAGATATTTTCCTGTATCTCTAAGGGCTCAAGTTCTGCAGGTACTGGATGCAAACATTTACAAGAATTCAGAGAACTGTATGACAAAAACTTCATACCTATACTGTATATCATTTCAAAGGTATTGAAAACAAGTCTGTTTTCAATACTGCAAACTAACTAGAGATTAATGGCTATCGCACACATTTCAAGTTGATTGGCACTATGTGTAATGTCTGTAAATTGTATTTATGGCTCTTGCATTTAAAGTATATCTACAGCCAAAACATTACTTTTTGTGTTTAGGATAAAGTAGAGAAGGGTTAAATCAGGTATATTTTTGCCATCTCTGTCCCACTTGGGAGATTTCCCTCCACTTTCTGTCCTGTAGAAATAACAGGAAGTGAGAGAAAATCTCTCCAAATTAAGGGAAATTAACATTTTAACCATATTGGCATTTGCTAATAACAGTAAAAAAAACCACTAGCCCTAACACCTTGTTCACACCTAGGCGTATTGCATATGCGCGTCTGTCGCGGTAAAAAAGTTGCGCGACCGTCGCGCGTTTCCGAAGGCTACTTGGCTGTATCCCAATGGAAACGCCCTACAAAACGGCCCAAAGTAGTACCTGTACCTTTTCAGGCGTGGGCCGTTGTAGCGCGTTAGGGACGGGCGGAAATATGCCAAGGTGGGAACGAGACCATTGAATACAATGGGATTTATATTTTTGAGCGTTTTGTAGAGCGTTCGTCGAGCGTAGAACGCGCTACAAAATGTTCAGGTGTGTCATGCATATTAAGTTATCAGAGTTTTTGTACTCATTAGAGGGAATTTACTAAAACTGGAGCAGACAGGATCTGGAGCAGCTGTGCATAGTAACCAATCAGCTTATAACTTCAGTCTGTTCAGTTAAGCTTTGAAAATGAAAGATAGAAGCTGATTGGTTGCCATGCACAGCTGCCCTAGTATCTATCTGCTCCAACCTTAGTAAATTACCCTCATTATGCTTTTGTGAATCAAACCTACTGCAGGCCCCCCCTGACTGCCCATGGTATGTGGTGAGCCCCAGAGACAGGGAGGGCTGACATTTCACTCCCAGGGATGGATCCTTAGTTGGGTTGTGTGATGTTAACAGCAAATTAGTTGCCAGCCACTAAGTGCTTTTTCAATGCTGTATTGTAGAACAGCCAAAATTGGAAGAGAGAGTATGGGGCTACAGACATGCATGGACAGAATAGACTCCAGACTCACCAGTCCCTTTCAGCTTCCACACTGTGTAATGGAACCCCAGCTGAACAGGAGACTTTATTGGGAACTTCCCTGGGAGAGGCACCAGACCTGTTCCTGAGGTCCATGCCATATTGGCCTTCCTGGCACCTCAAACAGATAAACGGCTCCTCTGGTTCTCCATCTCAGACAGTTCCAGACCCCCAACTGGGTCCACATCTGGCCTCCTGCAAACTTCAGACCTTGTCAGCTTCTCCAACTGTGTACACCCTACCCCCAGGCTGGGGCCATGGGCGGACTGACCTTAGCAAATGTCAATTCCAGATTACTTATGCACCACTAAATTGAAAGAGCCACTCCGCTTAGGGCAAAGGGGCTACACTACTGTTAGAAAATGAAAGGCCAACTTGGGGCTCGGCCCCCTGCTCGTCAATCCTCAAGCACCTTTTTTTTTATACTTACATTTTCCATATGTCTTCATGCTAGTGGACAGTCCTCAGTGATGCAGAGATCAGTGTTGACGTCAGTGCTGCTCTCAGAACCATTATACTGTGAGGGCAATGCATTCTGGTGATGACCCATCAGGGGGAAGATTCATGACACCCACTCACACAGTGGGGGGTAATTATAAAAACAAGACGAGAGAATCTGGAACAGTTGCCCATGATAACCAATCAGCTTCTCTCTTTTTTATTTTCAAAGCTTAACGGAACAAACTGAAGAGAGCCGCTGATTGGTTGCTTTAAGAAAACTGTCTGCCCATGTTTTTTTCGGGAATTCCTTCCAGTATGACTTCAGTCCTCCAGGTTGGATGGCATTGGGTGAAGACATCATGTGGCGAAAAGGAATTACTGTGGTGGAAAGCAATGGAGAGTAGTTGCAGCCAGAGTTGCTTTTTTTTAAAATCCATCTAGGGCACCTTTTTTTTTTTTTTTTAAATTTAGCCTAAAATTTGGCTTTAAGCTTTAAATCAGTACTGCATAAGCTTAAATGTATTTATGGTAATTCAGGTAAACATTCAGCAATGCACAAACAACAAATAATGTATGTGTCATTGCCACTGTGGCTTTGCAAAGGGGTTAGTGACCCAATCTGTGAGGTGTGAATGAGCTGCAGCACGTTCTAATAATCAGCCACTGAATACTGTGTAGCCCTTCTGTAAGAGTCACTAGCCATTAAAAGCTTAAATTTGCTTCTTATGTAACTGCTGACATATTTTGTTTAAAATTGACCGAGCAAAGGTTATGCTTTATTATATTTCATATTAGTGTGCTTCTTATAGCCTTGCAATATTTTTCTTGCCAGTATTACCAGTAGAAGTGATGCTTACTCAGTGTGGCACTACATAGCTATTAAGTCTGCAGAGTATTTGTTTCAGAGCCTTGTATAATCCTAATCCATTACAGATCCTTTCAGTGTCTTAAGGGTCACGTGGGCTAACACAGCCCTGCAGTTTTGTAAATAAACCAAAGGTGCACTTTGTCCATATGAATGCCCAGCAGATGAAACCTATAGCCTCAATAATGATGACTTTTTCAAGATTATGCTGGATATTTCTCTTTCGGCACCACAAATTTCCTCTTGTAGCATTGGGGGATTCCGAAAAAATAGTACTGGTGTAAAAAAGCTCAAAGGAAGGTATGTTTTTCTTACCATTTATTTAAACACATAGCTTAGCAAAAACGGTTTATTGTTAGAATTCATAGGACACATGCATTAATAATGATTTAATGCTTATAAAATATATTTGAATTGCTTTTGGGATTTGATAGAGGTTAGTGACCTAACAGACCAGACTGTCCAAATGTCGCACAATAAATTATGAATACAACTTTTACTACTTTTATTTTTCATCAAAGTTCATTTTTTCAAGTTAGCTTTTATTATATTTATTATATTGTTCAGGATTTTTTTTTAGTATTTCATTTGGGACTTTCATTATATACTGATTATTGATTATTGAATGGGTGCTAAAGGAAAAAAGAGTATATTACATGAAAAAGATTTGGCTAGAGTAAATAAAGGTACAATTTTATATAACTCTAAGGGGAGGATGCACAGGTGGCAACTGTGGGAGTGGGAGTGGGACTTTCATTATATAGTTTATTAGACTTTTGTTATTTATAAAGGTGAAGGCAAAATGTATTGTTATTTTTGTGGTGAACGTTTGATGGCTTTGATTGGTTTGTCCTTGAGAGAGTCCAGAGAAGGGCAACTAAACTAATTAAGGATCTGGAGGACCAAAGCTATGAGACAAGGCTACTAAATCTAAACTTGTTTATGCTGGAAGTGAGGAGACTAAGAGGAGACATGATTTTGATGTACAAGATGTTCAATGGGGATAGCAACATCAGCCATAAACATTTTACTATAAACTCCATAACAAGAACTGGAGGTCACCACCTAAAACTGGTGGAGAAAAGATTTAACCACAAGGGGCGCAGGGGCTTCTTCTCAGTTAGAGCGGTTAGGGTCTGGAACTCGCTGCCACAAGAAGTAGTATCTGCTGAGAGTGTTGAATCATTCAAAAAGCATTTGTACAACTCCCTCAGAGACCGTAACATACAGGGGTACAGGTACTCTTAGAAACAAGAACCCACGGGGACTCGTACACACGCATGCACATGCAGAATCACATACATACTGTACACGCAATAGGTTGAACTTGATGGACCTGTGTCTTTATTCAACCTCAAATACTAAGGGGTCTATTCACGAAAATTAAATATCTAATCTGATAGGAACCTTTAAAAACCAATCTGGCTTTTTAAAGGTAATTCTATAAATTGGGGTCACTCTGCCGTTACCATTTTAAAAGTGAATATATATTTTGAACTTAAAATAAAATGAAACTACAACTCTTCCTTGCAATTTAGTGACAATGGGATGTGGAACATCCAGCACCCCTCCCCCACGCAAACACTCCATTCGCAAATCTAAGAAAGGTAAGCATGTATTATACTGTAATATTAACATTGTGGGACAAGTTAATGCAGGGATAATGTTATGTGTCACTTCGAGGAGGTACGGATGTGTACAAATAAAGTTGATGCGTAATTTTAAGAATGGTTGGACCTCACTATGGTTCATTTTATTTTCAAGAAATTATTTTTAAGGAAGAATGTAAAATTTGGCTTTAAGAAGCATTGTACATTACAGTAACTCTTAGCATCCAGTTAGAAAATAATTTCCCTGGTCTAACTGCACTGTGCTAATACTGGGATCTGTGGGTGAGTGTAGCCTTTCTAACCGGGCTATTCACAAAAGGGTGAAGAGTCTGGAGAAGGCAGGAGAAGTGAACAATCTAGGACAACATAGCTGAACTGGAAAGTGAGCTGCATGGGAGAATTTTTCCAAATCAGCTATTTTGTCCTAGATTGTTCACTTCACCTGCCTTCTCCTAACTCTTCACCCTTTTGTGAATAACCCTGTAAACATATATAGGTTGAGGACTGGAGAGAGACCAGGATACACTCAAAGATGGCAGCTCGCAAGCGCAGAACGCGTCAGAGGCCGACATGGCCATCGCTCGTTCTGCATTTTCAGTGTGACATCACAGGCTGAACGAGCGGTGGCCATATGAGTCACCGGCGCGTTCTGCGCAGGTGCGCCGCCATCTTTGAGTAAATCTTGGCGTATACCAGCTATAGTATACAAGCATTACCAGCTGAACTACTACATGACAAACAAATGCACACAAAATCAACATGTTGCAGACATATGACTCCCACAAACTCGAGTGCCCCTGAAATCATCAGTTGCTAAGTAAAAATCAACAAGATAAAAGTAAGGCACATACTTGGAAATGGAGGTGCGAGAGAAGAACAGTTTCAACATGGCTTATTAAAACAGGGACAATCCAGCGAAGACCTTACACCGATGACCTATCTGATGGGCGCATATGGAAATTCAGTTGTCCTTTGCCTACTAGGCAGAACTTTTCAGAAGTTCCATTTGTCGAAGGACATTTTCCTATTCCCACTGATAATAACCAGAAACCTGATCCACCTAGACATATTGAAAGATTCAAAAGGCCTCATGTGTGGGCCAAGGATTGGATGTACAGTAATTAAAACGCATAGCACTGTCTTGTGATATCATTATTTACATTGTTGTCTTTTTTGTACTATGCAGTGCTCGGTCTGTCCTGTATATGTCACTATTGACAGTTGTTACATGTAAAATACTTTCTTTATTCTGTACAATTAGTTTCTGTTTCTCTTATGATATACTCAGAAGCCTGCATGTGTATTATAGATGCCTTATTAATAAGGTAGTCTATAACTACTCTGCCTACAAGATTACAGGATATAGCAATCACCAAGATGCATTCGTTTTCATTTATTATAGATCAAATATCTTGTTTTAGAATAATTTGGGTCATAATTGTAATATGTATATAGGATATCAGAATCAAACTTACAACCATAAATTATAATACCCATTGTTATGAAGTTGTTCTATGAGTATTTATGATCTGTAAAATAGAAAATATTTGGTATAGAATAAAAGTGATGCTTTTTTGCTACTACCAGACTCATGTAAAAGTTGTCTTTTTACACAGTGGTGGACAAAGTCACAAGTGGGTCCCTGTATGAGAACAACTTTTAGGCTTTTCATTAAACTACTGCCAAAGCACAAACACTTACTTACTAAATGTTAAAAGTGTAAAAGAGTTATAATATGTAATTCACAAACATAAATAGGCACAAACATTTTGAATGTGAAAAAGTTTAATCAAAAGCTGTCTTGACCTGAGGCTGTAATTTCAGTAGTGTGTAGAGTCTGCATACTCCAGCTTCCTGATTGGCTGGGAAGCTAGCTCCATGCTCCTTTATCACGAAGTGACGAGGAAGCATGAAGCTGGCTTTCTGGCCAATCAGCCAGGGGGCAGGTAATGACTCACCATCCGGCTTTCTGATTAGCCAGCTTCCCGACCAATCCGGAAGCTATGTGGCGAGTCATTACACGCTGCCCGGCTTCCGGATTGGCTGGGGAGCCGGCTCCATGCTCCCTCGTCACTTAGCATGGAGCCAGCTTCTTGGCCAATCAGGAGGCCGGGCAGCGTGTAATGACTGACTGCCTGGCTTCCTGATACTGGAAGCTCAGGTGTCGGGCTAGGCATCGGAAATACTCGGCATCGGTACCAATACCGATATTAGTATCGGTATCAGTGCATCCCTAGTTTTAAACATTTTCTTACAGACTATATGATATGTGCAGCTCTTACATATTCCATACGTTGCATATTAAACCCATAACCATAGTTTTGTGTAGGTATGATATAATCTACCTGTGTGCCACACTAATCACACCAAGCTCCAGCCCTGCGAAATTCCTCTTGCAATCCCCTCCCTGTGCTGTTCCTCTGTCCCTCTCTCGTCTATTACTGAATTCAATGGGAGTAACACATAAATCTAAAAAGGCTGGTTATGGATTCATGCATGTACCACTTTTTTCTAGTTTGACTATTTTTGGTTAGTGGGATGCACTGGGGTCCCAGCGTGCATTTTTGGTTGCTGGGCCCCCAGTGCGTCCCTGCACCTTATCAGGAGGAGTAGGCTACCTCCCAGGTACACCTGCATGCAATCTGTCGACTTCATTAATATGCTCACACTTGGAGACTCAGATACATAGAGTTAGGACCACAATTTGCGGAGGTGCCTTGGCGCGGCAGTGTGGCTTCTACATATTTTTGGCCAAAAGTTTGTGCAACTAAAACCTCTGATTTTAACGCATACTGTTGACAGGGCTACTTGTTTGGTTGCAGGCTGGCTGGCAGGTTGGGGCTGGGGAACTTTTGTGTTTTTGTATAACACATAAATCAGACATGGGAGAAATTCAGAAGTATAGTTGAGCGTTGAATGAGACAGGAAGAGAATAATTAAACATCCTCTTTTAATTAAAAAAGAAAACAAAGATCTTTAATGTGTACCTTTTTCTTCTCTGCTATTCCACAGCTCACTCCATCACTCAAGGTATGAATATGTTACTGAATTTAAGAGAATGTATACACGGCAATTTCCATATGTGTAGATCACTCACTTATACTTTCTACTTTATTCAAAGTTAGGTGGGCTACCTATCTGCTTTTCTGTCCATGCAGGGTATAGAAAAAGGGGTAATTTAACAACCCCCTTCCCTTCTTGCCAGCAGCAGGTACTCACCTTTCCTTATTCCCATGTTGCTCTCTTTGGTTGCCGAGACTAGAGAAGAAAAGCCCTGTGGTAAGCTCCAAACCTATTTGAAGTTTAAACAGGGCTATGGACATCTTTTCTGGACCTATGTGATAATGCTGGGCCAATGACCTGGTACCCAACACTGACACAGGGGAGAAGAGAAGTGATTTACATGCTTAACCATTCCTGGAGGTTTCAGGTATTGCTCACCAGTCCCAGTGGCTAAAGGAAAGCATGGAAAGGTGTGTAGATACTACTGGGGAGAGGTAGAGTTAAGTGACCCTTTTCCCTTTTAGCCTGACATTTTAAAAAAAAATTATACTGACATGCATTAAATGATAAAATACCATAAAACTGATGTTTTAATTGTATTTTCACTAACCTCTGAAATCATTCATCAGATTTTAAAAAGTTTTATGAAAGTTTACAGCTCTCTGTACTTTGAAAGACTCAGTTTTGGTCTCATTAAAACAAAGTGATTATAGTGATCTGCAGTGCGAGGACCATGCTGATAGGAAGGAGAGCAGAGTAAGAGATAAGCTGTCCAGTCACAGTCTTGGGGAGGGACAAAACCTGTAAATGTTACTTACAGTAACTGTAGCAAAGAAAAAATGGGTCGCCTGCCTTGCCAGACATTGTTGTGTTGAGTATCAGAGCTGTGTAAATATCATGACTCCATGGAGAAAAACACAAATGTTTTGGCAGGTATAAGAGCTCCAATATGTATATGTAGCTGTTTGCCTGGAGTTCAGCTTGAAGTAGTGTTTGAGCATTCATTGATTTAATACTGAAACTAATACATGACATTTTCTCAATTGCCTTACAGGTTCTATCACACCAGCAGGAACCGGTATGTTCTCAATATATATTGAAGAGCAAAATATAAAAAACATTTTTAGAAGCTGATGGATACAAGGGAAGGGCTCTAGATAATGATTCACATGTTCTGTGACTTCACCTGCTGCTTGCTTACATTTTTCAACCTTTCTAGGTGTAAATTTGTTTATACAGGTATTTTCATTATTGCAATGCACCTCGGCAAGATATACCAAAATCGACCAAATATGCAGAAACATCCACCAAACTAAAGGAGGCTATACACACTTTGAATTTCGGTTGGTTCCTGATGAACCGGCCAAAGTTTATACCATGCGTGCCTGCATCCCTGAATCAGCTGATCAAAGAAGCAGGTCTGAAAATTCCTGACCAAACGAAGCTAGGAGCCAATCAGCTATGGGCTCCGAGTACAACACAGACAGCGGGGTAATCTGTTCGATTTTTTTCATTCAGCCCGCAGGTTGAATTCAACATTTTGAACTGTGCATACCCGGCTTTGAAATATTGTATCTCTGTAGAACACTAGCAATCCCCATAAATAATACCGACTTCAAGAACCTTAGATCTATGCTACATAACTATATCTGCAGCATAAACGAGCGAGATGTGCGTATGCCCAACTTATTAGACATAAAACTGGAGGAGGGATGGGCATGGTAGACCTCAAAGATTACTATCTGGCAGTTCTTTTAGAACAGCTTAAACATTGGTTCCGGCCCTCTCCTGACGTGCTCTGGTGGGAGATTGAATGTTCCATAGTGTCCCGACACAACTTAACTCAATTTTCTGTTAGCTAGCACGTGGGGGGGGGGGGGAGGGCTTTCCCATCGACTACCCCCCCATTCATTGGGGCTTGGAGCC